ATTTAAATAGTGGCAACATGTTTGAAAAATGTCCAAATATGGAATACTGCTCTAACCTTAACATCTAAGCTATGGCGATTTTACTGTTATTTGATGTTTTGAGTAACTTCAGATGCTTTGTACAATACATGAAATGTTTACCTGTACATAGATTTGGAAAAACAAGATTTCTTTTCTTTCTTATTTCTTGCACGTTTAAAGCATAACTCACACTTTCAATGGTCAATCACAACCTTTAAAAACTCCAACGTACTCCCATGTGGAAACAAGGATACAGTGTCAAAGACATGAACAGCTTTGCACAGTTCAGCAGTTTTGCCAAGAGGTCGCAAGTGGAAAGTGCTTCCATGGATGACAGCATGATGCTGGATCCACTTCTGTGAACCTAATTTTGGCCCTGCTTTGAAGGTCAAACTACATCTGAGTTCCGAGAGCCTTTGGGTGAAGCTAGCAGTACTGTCATCATATCTGTAAACATGAGCTATCCTTACCGACAAAATAGACACTATAGTTTTTTTTTGTTCAAGCCCAGCATAACTGCTGCCACTCACTTGTAAATATGGAGTCGTCATCTTCATCGTCGTCCTCGTCGTCATCCACGTCATCGTCCTCGTCCTTATACATGCTGGGCAGATCTTCATAGTCAGACTCGTCGGGCATGTTCTCCTTGTCATCCTCATAGTCAATGATCACAGACGGCACTTCCCTTCTGTCCAGGGGAACACACTGACCAACACCGTGCAATGCAGAGCTGGTGGAGTCAAAGGGATAGAATCTGGACATGAATGTAAAGGGTCATGCTTATGGCCAACACCATTTGGCCATGGTAAGACGATGAGCCTATCCATCCCCAACAACAGTGAAGGCAAAAATCCAATTTCCATGGGAAACCCTTATATTTCAAGCCTAGCTCTATATCATTGTACTATTACTGAAACAATAAACCTTCTCAAATTGATTTAAAACAATAAAGGGGCTTCTGGTACATAGTCTCATCATAGTTTAGTGGGATTTTAATCCAAGTAGAGGAGATGTGTAACTCCAGATGAATGAAACTGGAGAGCCTTAATACACACCAAGCACAATTCTGTGCAGTCCTACGCAATGCCATGCAATCCTCTGAACTACACAAGAGAGAAGAGTAACTGATTATACAACTTGTATAATTCAAAACAAGGTGACACAAATAAACTTTCCTTTCAGGAGCACATCATTTACATGCAATCGCTTACCGCTGACATGTTTGGATAAGATTGATTAAATCAGTCTAGTTGGAGCTTCTTATGATGAGCCACATTTACGTAACCATTTTCAAGCTTTCAGACTAATTGTGAGAGATGTCAGGACCATTACTTCCTTATCCCTGCCCAAATGGCTTTGGTGAAAAAGAGAGATCCTAATGTAAGAGGTTACATAATGTCCAATCCGCTACCCTGTCCCTTTTCTCCAAACATGAAGAAACGCAGCTCTTGTAAAGAGCAGCTGGTCATGTTATGTCAGGCCAACTGCTGGAGGGACGCCTACTCCATGAGCCTGTGCCCACACATACACACATTTACTTCAAAATTAGGCCATGCTGCCCTGTGAGGCAGTGTGCTGATTTAGACCTGTACACCAGTGCTACATGTCAGGAGGCGACCTCAATAACATATTTATATATCTGAGAGTAGCGAACAAGTCACCACAAAAATAAAACCTAATAAACAGGGCGCTCTAAGCTAATTTTAATGGTGTTTTTTCTTCTGTAATTACTCTGATTAGTGCCGTTTTGGCAAGAGCTTTAATAAACAAGAGATTAATTTTATTTGGGCCAATCAGTATTAAGTTATTACTTTCATTGGTGAAATGTTTTAAATGCCAGCATGAACGCACTGACACATTTCAATCCCCAAATCCAACCAAGATATTATGTGTAATGTACAGACAGAAAGAAAAATAGAGGCTTATCCATAATCCCTCCCTGCCATCACTGGAGGACAATCAGATTTAATGAACTGAGCACTGATGGCTACTAACCTTTCAAACCTCTGCATGGAGAGTGCCAGGGTTTTATTGAGCTCCTCGATGATGCGGCTGGGCGTGTGCAAGCTGCCATACTGAAGCTGGAGCGGGTGACCGTGGCTCTGGTGGAGACTGGATAGGCCGGCAAGCTGAGAGGGCAGCAGGGTGCCGTGATGGAGGGTCATGCCCTGGGGAGGGGCACACTTTTGGGAAAGAGCGCTGAGGGGATTGGGGGATGGAGAAGGGGATGAAGAGTCCAGCCCCCCTGGAGGCACACAAATCATCACTTTCTTGGGAGGCAGAGGTGGAGAGTGCTTTCCCCCGGGCATACAGGGCAACTTCATTGGCTGGCAAGAATCTAGAGAGAAAAGTGTAACAGGACAGAAAGAAGGATTACTGAACATGTCTGCTGGGTTAACTTGTGTTATATCGCATCCACTACACTTTGCTAATGCACACAGATAAACAGAGCTCATGGACGATGAAACATGGCTCAGACGTCAGCGCAGAGTGGCGGGAATTAGGCCAGGGTAATGCCACTTCCCTCTGACTGACAGATTGACAATGACAGAGAGCCCAGCTGACCTAACCACAGGGGAATTTAATGAGACTACTATAATCCTGAGCACATGTGTAGCAACGCAGGTAGGGTTTAAAGCAATAGCAGTCATGTCTCTTGTCAAAATAAGTACAAGGTATATACTGCGAGAATTCCACATATCTGACGGTCTGAGGTAGCGGGTACAACAATTAATGTATGTTGGTTTAGAAGAAGGGAAAAACCAAGTGCCCAAGCATAAACTAAGACCACTGACCTGTGCTATGGTTTGGGATCCTAGAGAAAGGCTTTGGAGGGAGAGCAGGAGGCTGTTTGTGGTACATCGGTGGCTTGGCGGGGGTATCCTGAAGGTCACCAGGGTAGGTGACAGATTTCTTGGTGGACATGATCATAGATGACTTGATAGAGGGCTCCTGAGTACAGACTCCGCCGTCCATCGAGGATCGGAACTCAACGGTCGCTGAACACAAAAAAGTGACAAGAGAAGTGAAAACCTGACAAGCAATCGAAAATGTGTTTTGCTGCACAACAAAGACACGCCTCATGAAGACTGTTCAAAGTTTAAAATGAACTCTGAGTTGAGTTTCTAGAGACAATGGGGGGGGGCTGCTCAACCACCCTGGAGCCTTTTATCAGCACAAACCAGACCAAGGAACGGTGTCTGCAACGCAGTTTGACAGAACTTTTGCTTTTTAATGCTTTTACAGCGCTGAGCCATTTGATGGTTTTTGTATGATCACATTTTAAGGCTGACAGCGCAATACACAATGCTGCTCACATATTCCGACAAACAATGCATTTATATTGGGAGCTCTCCCTTGTTCCCAAATTTCATCTTGACTGAACAGTCTTTTAAACAGAAAACCACAAGAATGCTTATCCCTGTATGATTTAGGAAACAAGGTTAGTGTCTAGACTTTTTAAACATTCAGAAAGTCTTCCAAGGGATTTTTGGGGGGATTTTTTTTTATCTCAATATATTTAAGTCAGAAGTTTTTCTCATAAGCAGCTCTCATACAGATAGACTTTCAAAGATCCTCATTTTGAAGCATCTCCATGAGGAAAGATCTGATTGCATCTTTAAATTCAGCCACAGAGAAGTTGGCCTCTGCACCATTTAATAATTCTAACCTAGACTAGTGGTAGAGTTTGGCTGGTGTGTGTCACGTTAAATCCAGGCACATAGAGTGCCAGTCGAAGACGGCATCCAGTTAAAGCCGATTACAATCCAGCAGCCAATCAGATGAAAGGTTCACACATTTTTTTTTTGCCAATATGAGATTTCTTTTGTTTTTAATACATTTCTATTACTTGTCCCCATGGGTCTATTTCTATTTTGAGCGTACCAGAGTAGAATACATTTTGTTGTACATCTATACATCAGAGGGATGTCAGTGCTGATAAAAATATTACAGCTTTCATAGATTTGGTAAATGTAAAAATAACTACTGCTGATCTATTGAGCTGTGCACACAAGCCTTTTTCTGATTATGGAAACTAGGTTGTCACTGGGAAAGAATTGAGCACACCAGGCCTCATTAATATGCATTCTAAGGAGTGGCACAGTTATTGTGCAGAAATAGGGGAGGTAGCTATTCAGTTTCTTTTGATTTACTGAGCTGGACAATGTCTGTCTGTCGTTGTTAAGGTGCACATGGTACTTTAAGCCAAGTACATGTGGCTTGTACTTGATTTGTGACTTTTTGTGAGACATTTGTGTTAGGTTTGATAGCAAAGAGAGTTATTATTTTTGAACACTGTCCAAAAGACTCAATTTCTAAAATAAAATATGAATAAAGCCCACATTTCTTCTCATTTGTTCACATCTTGGCAGGAGGCAATGGACTTTTTCAGCTTCAGCAACTTTGTTTTTGATGTCCTGAGGCATGGAGCACCCTGCTGTCAGACTCAAATATATTCTCTAGCTGTGGATATGGGGTGTCTGAGGCACATCAAATCAAGATCAAAGACTTCATAAAACCCTACAAAATTTCTATAATGAAAGATTATATCTCTAGACACCCCATGCCAAATCTTGAAGAGTGCACTTCAGAGACTACCGATTAATGAGGAGATGAATAACTCAAGACCCTCCAATTTAGTGTAGTCCACCCCCTTGCAGTTTTCTACTTAAAACCGAGACAGTTTCCGGCACGGTTAAATCAGACTTTGCTGCATAAAACCAGCTCACCTTTTTCAAAGATCTCTTTCAGCACTCCTCTCTTGATCAACTCATCTCTGCTCTGTCGCATTGACATCTTCCTCTCCAAAGCTGAGGGGGTAAAAGAGAATAATGTTAAAGTCATTTTCATGTTGGTGAGATCTTTCAATAACACAAAATAAAATTTAAAATAAGATGTCCTAAGGACCCCAGGCAAAATAGTTTGCCATCATAAGCGGTGGTTTTTCAGTACATTTTCACCAGTGATACTGACAAAAGGTAGAAGTCTCTGTGTGAAAGGCAAGGCATGGTTGTCAAAAAATCTCCATATTCTTTTTTTAAGACAGAATTAGAAAAAAGTTGTGACAGCTTTAATACAACCTTTTAGAGAGTTTTTTGTTGAAAACATGAGACCCGCCTGCTGAAACTTAGAAGATAAGGCATTAATATCTATTATTCCAACTGAAGATGTAAAGAATATCTTAAGCAGGTATTGAGCCATTTAAAAAAAAAAACTATTTGGTTTAAAACAGCTGGGCACTGTAGTTCTTAGCAAACTATTCAAACAGAAGTAAGTAGACAATTTTAATCGTTTGGTAGGCTACTTATTATTTATGGCAGCAGGATTGTTTATGTGAAATAAACACAAAACAAACTTCAGTGTTAATTGTAATGACTGAACATGTCACCCAGTGCAACAATATGGCTCATTAATGTGATTTTAATAGTTGTTGGACAACAATGGAGGTATATGGCAAGAAGATGTATCCGACTTTGGCTACTTGTTAGTAAGATCAAATCATTGTTGGTTTTTGTCGTTTTATGGGATTTGTCAATAAGAAAATAAGAATTGCCAAAAGATATCCTGTAAGTAAAAACATTTTTTACTGATTTACCTGAACATAACTGTATCTACAGTATATATCATTAGTGTTGTTGTACATGCATGACAAAAGATGTAAACTTTTAACAGATAAAAAAAAAATGCAATTTCAGTTGACCGAATAGCAGTATTAAAAGACTGGATTTTATTGTAAAGATAATCTGTGAAATAGTGACTTCTCTTCTAAACAACTAAAGCGAAAAAACTAAATCTTGATTAACAAAAGCGATAAAGGATGGAGGAGACACTAACCAACAACACTTCTCATAGTAATGCATTATGCAGAGGAAAGCATGTCCCATAGCTACGGCTTGCTTCTATTTTTAGCTTCAAAAGTTGAGGCACTTAACGTCTTCTATCAGTAAGCTGAACAAAAGCAGTAAAAAAAAAAATAATAATAATAATAACGTTAGCGTTTTCAAAATCCACCCCTGCATAGAAACCAATTAAGAATGTGAAATTAGGATCAGCAACAGCACTTGAGATCAGTGCACAGCATTTTTCCTGCATGCCTCTGTAGCCCTTGCTTAAGAGGGAGATCACAGATTGTGCCGTGTGTGCTTTACATATGACCCAGGAGTCCTGTCCCGCCTCTATCAGAGGGTGGTGTGTTCAATGCTAAATACAGCTTCAGTGTGTATTCACGAATATACCGACAGCTTGACCTCTCTTTCCCTTGCCCTTAGTCACAACACAGCAGATTAAAAACCAACTGCTGAGAGTCCAAAATTCAAAAACACAAATAAGAGTCATACAAAATGTCAGACCGGACAGGCCTCCAGGGCAGAAATTTGGATAATTTTGTGCTTCAGTGTTCAAAAATACCCCAGCAAAGCAAGTTATCATCAGACAGTATGCTCCACCATGAGCTCCTCCAGGATACCAGATGTTCAGTATCAATCCATACTTCAAAAGTTTGAGAAGAAGCCTGTTTAAGATCAGCTCCAAGCCAGGAATTAGTTAGGCAGCTAAACATTTTTTGGAAAAATACGTGACCAAAATGTGTGACACAAAGTATCATCTCCACTGGAGCCCTTCAAAGCAGTAAATTGAAGAATGTGAAATAAAAGGAATTTGTGCCAATTGTAGATGCTACTTGGGTTTGGGTGCTAAATCAGGCAGCTCCACTGTAAAAAAGTTAGTTTAGTATATCAAGGGGATAGTAAATAGACTTATCAAAAGAGTTGACCCAGAACAAACCTAGAGGAATTTTTCTGACAGAGTGAATGCAGCCAGTTCACAAAAATTGTTTCCCCAAAGCACTGCAGGCATCAAGAGGCAGTCAGACATCACACGTTTCCTTTCTTTGTACCTGTGCATTCTCAAACTTCATTAAAATTTACAACAGTTCAGAAACTGGAGAGGTTTCTATTAATAATGTCTCCAAGTTGAGCAGAACCCAGATTAATGACAAAAATAAACCTTTGAATAAAAGTCCTCTGAAAATTTCATCAAAAACTAGGGATTTCTTCACCTTGGCAGTCAATTTTCATAAAACTCTCCAAACAACACTCTTTAACTGAGAAGCACTGACTGCACTGCTATTGACTACAAATGTCAATTGAGAATGTGTTTATGTTTTTTAGGATGTACAACATAAAAACACAAAGAAGTGTTACAAAAAGGTTAATATTTTTAGTCTCTATAAAACCTCTTTTTATTAAATACAAATTATCCAATGACACTTCATTCTAGCACCAATAATCAACAACCTCAATTCGATTTGACATCCCTGGTGTGGGTTATTTGAAAATAAAATCAATTTATTTTATGAGACTTATTTGCCAGCATTTTGCTTGACAGACACAATGTTCATCAGAATGACAAATCTCTTTAAAATCATCAACTCTTTGCCAGACAGGGAAAACCCAGGGCTAAAAGGTTGATGCTAGGTCTGCCAGTGCTGTAATATGTTCAGGGATTATACTGCGGTTTCATCCAAAATGAAAAGTAATTACTCAAAGCTTTATGACATAACTGCTATGCCATGGGATGTGCGCGGTTACGTAATACCATTAACTGAAAAGCCTTTGCGAGGATATCTTCAGATTTGACAGATATTGTGCGCTCATAAAACAAAAGAAGAAGAAATTGAATTTAAGAGCCCAGGCATCCAGACAGGAGTTAAAACACTGGCTGGTCTTTCAAAAAAACAACAATTTGTTTCATATTTAATGAATACATTAATAGTGTGCAAGAAGTGGAATTTCATATAAATTTCATCATCGAGGTCCTGTAAGGGTTATGCACAAAAAAAATGCAGATAAAAAACTGCCACTCACACCAAATATTTAACTTTGGTACCGAGTATGATTGACAGGAACCAGAATGGCAAATCACCAGTTGCCAGTTTGAAATATTACTTGTGCGTATACGTATAATGTACAGCTGAGGTACACACATTGAAACACTGAACTACTTCTCCAAAACTACTTTTATAGGTCTATCAACGCCAAATAACAACACAATGCAATCTTTCATATCAGAGTATGAAAAGCAGAAACTGTCCTCTAAATCACCTTGAATATCAACTAAGTTCTATTTTGGACAGTCCACCATGGCCCAAGTTGTGTCCAACTCTGCAGCCACTCAGTCTGCATGAAGATGAGAAGATTAGACGCTCATCGGGGAGACTCAGCTGAGAGCATATTAAATGAAACTGGCATATCCGAGTATAGCCTGTATTGATCTGAGAACACTACACTTAGTTTTTAGAGAGAATATATTCCACTGCGAAGTGACCCAGATAGTCAGAACAAATCCTACCAACCCCGAGGCTCTGTAGCTCAAAGTGGAGGCTTTTACCGCGGCAATTCTCTCAGCCTGAGCCTCACAAAAACTGTATTAAAACTTTAATGGAGTCTTTTATCAATGAGAAGCTCGAGCTTTAAGGCTTATATGCGAGTAGCTTCGCTAAACAAGCTCTTGACACATACAGAAAGGTTCCTAATGTGACATTTGTTTTTCCTCTTCACACAGTATAGAATCAATGGAACCCTATGATATTCATTAAAGATTATGTTAATAAGAAACAGCAAGAATAGTGAATTAGACGCTTCTCATAAGGAAAGCTGCTAACTAATTGGGTTAGAAATGAGAATAAAGATAACATCAGACTACCACATGCATGATCTTTTGATGAACCTCTGCCAAGTGAGATCTCTTTGGGATACAAGCTCGCTGCGAGGATGTACTGAGCATGATAAGGCAGCATGATACGACATCCGACCATCAGGCCCTCCCAACCTCCTTCTTTCCTGAGGTGAAGAGTACAGTACCCCCAGAGCTGGCCATCATCTGCTTAATATCGCAGCACATTCATAATCCTCTACTGTGCTCGGTGTCCAATTATCTACGACAACATCTGCATACCCAGTGGCTGGTCTGCTCCCTGCTGACACAGGAAACATAATCAACAATAAGACTGCAGAGTAAAGAAGACACTATGCAGGGGCAGGAAAGTCCAAGATCATAGCAGTGCAGAAGGAATCCCAGGTGTTGCAATCAACTTTGTCTCTAATATGATAAATGTAAAAAAATAAAAAAAATAGGAAAAAAGCAACAGGTTGAAATATGACAAACAATGCCTTCAGGAGATTTCAAACAAAAGCTCAAGTATTTTATATTAAGTCTAGTATAGGGTCGTAACTGTGTGGCAGCAGTTTTATTATATCAGCTCAAATAAGGTCATACCATTCCAGGCTGTAAGGAAAGCAATAAACAGGCTGCCGTCTTATCGTTGACAAATTAAATAAGGCCAAATGCACAACAGTATGCGCAATGTTCCATTTTAAAAACACAAATCAATAGCGGGGCTACAGGTCAGCCAAAGTCGATGCTGTTTCCTAGATTAAGCAGGCTGAATTTGTTCCACTAAACTCAGCTTTCATCACAATAAAATGGTAGTTACAAGACGACTAAATGTATGTGAATAATTACACCGAGCTGTCCTTCTTTCTCTGATAAGGAGCAAGCAATTCATTCTTTCTCAAAGTGATTATTTTCACTTATCAGATTTGTTTCCCCATTTTTGCTCTGATCTAAGATACATCAGAAATTGTCACCAAACATAGTCGTCAAATACCGATGCTTTGGGTTATGGTAAAAGGGAAACAAAGTGGCTCGGACTCAACACAACAGGTGCTGTTAATGCTCCCAGGTCTATTTAAATGCAGATTATTGGCATTCATTTGGAATCATGATTCTGACCTGACAAAAACTCTCTCTTCATCCAGCTCAGATTTAGTCTTCACCATCTTCTGAGGGAAATCTGCAGATTTCTCTTTAGCTGCTAAACACATCACTATTCATCACTATTAGTGAGCCTTTTGTAGTCATTTGAGCCATTTTTACGCAAAATATTTTAGTGCAGCTTTAAATCTCAATTTTAGTGCAATGGTCCATGTGTTGACGGCTAATTCCTGAGCCACTTCCTGTCATTTAAATTTGCCACACCAGCTCATGCTACTGCCTGCTGCACGCGTGCAGGCCACATTCCTTTTATTTGGGACTTGAGGGTTCATGCTTCTCGCTGATCGATGTGACAGTGTGAGTGCAGTTGTAGTGGCGTCAATGTGGCGACAGAACCCCGCCTGAGCATTGGAGCTCCTTGCAGGATTGTGTACGCCACCAAAGCTTGAAACAATGCAGAAATTCCATTAAGAGACCACTCTAGTGAGATATACTGGTAGGTCATCATAATCCACCATCATGTTGCTATCAAAAAGGGTTGAATAGAACAATAGCAAAATGATTATTTGGAGACAGCAGCATTATGGATACAAAACAAGTGGATAACAAAGGCGATGGAGAGAGCTTTTTCACTCAAGTCCACTGTGCATTAACACTATTGTAACAGAAAAAACCCTTTTGTTGCTCAGCTCTTCATTATTGTCCTTCATCACAACAGGAGAGATGCTTTTATCAGAGAGCATACTGTACATGACTGTACCAATGAACAAAAAACATCTCCATCAAATATGCACTCTATTACAATACAGTAAAACATCAAGACATTAAGCATTTAACACTTTAATATAGATTTCATCAGCACCTTTTGCAACCTACTAAAAATACCACTTAGTCCAGAGAGACTGCTGAAAACCATGTTGGAGCAGAAATACAAACTGCAGCCAAACAGCACTCTGGGAACAGCAACTGTCAAAGGCTAGCTGACAGGTTACATCAACCTAAAAGTCAAATTTTCTTTTTTGCAATCGACGATGAAAAGTGATGAAAAGACATCACATAAGAGACTGATCGGCAGTAAGAGAGCAAAACATGATTAAATCAGACAGAGACTCATTCATCAAATTCACACCCAATATCAATGTTTTAATATTACTAAATTAGAACATCCTGTCCTGCTTAGACCAGATACAGGTCTCTGTGCAATTGCTCATCTTCTACAAAAGCAAGAATTCTGCCTCCAACCCGCAAGACGCAGTCTGACAAAGTGCCTCCCTCCTGTCCACCAGGCTGACAGCAGAATTCCGGATCTGTCAGCCAAGGAAAATAAATACAGCCACATCTGAAGGAAGCATGTCCTTCACTCGCCCCTGACAACACTGGGCTGCGAGATCAAAGGAACTCTAAAGCGACCTCAAAACATGAAACTCCAACGCTGCACTTTTGCTGAATCAATTTGCTGCATTTGCAATCACCCTGGAGACTTTTTTTTTGTCAAAAGGATATACACTGACTTTCTGTCAGACATGGTATATAATAACAGGAAACATGGTTGTTCCTAACACAATGCATGTCTTTTTTTGTGCATATATTAACATACTGTAGAATTAAGGGGGAAAAAAGAGTCATGTACCAGCAGAGGTCTGCTTGAACTTCTCACTCTTCTTCTTCCTCCATTTCCAGGGCTTGAGGAGGCGTCCCAGAGTGGCAAACTTGCTCCGACGACGGATGGGTGGAGTGTGGGTGCCCGAGATCAAAGACTCAGAACGCATGGCGGCCAGCCTCTCTACTTCCTCAGCTGTAAGGGAACAAAATAAATGTAAAAATTAAAATACAATAAAAAAATAAAAAAAACAGGGTCTTGCTTAGGTGAGGATGCAGAGGTGGTGATATTCTGGTAATCATGCAGGGAGAGCTAGCTGTGAATGCAGCAGACATGTTTGCTTACAAAGACCCAAGCAGCAGGAATCTTTGCCAAGTGGCCTCCTGAATTCTCTCGTAACTGGATGAGGTTGGGAGAGGATAAACAAACCTGCACATCAGATAGAATTACGCAGGATACGCTCCGAGTCTAAACAGTTTGAGGCTGCATCACACTGAGAGGTTGGCATTAGCTTGCCAAAACACACTAAAGAGACTGATAAGCACCTCATTAAGGGGAAATCTTTCCACTCCTCATCAATTATTCACAAGGCCCGGTTCTTTACACTTTTACGTACTATTGGACATCAAAAGCAAATGTTAAGCATTTTAATTTAACAAACCATTAAATGAAAAGGTGAGTACATGCTATGTTTGAATGTTATATTAAAAAAATAAAAAATAGACACCAGGGCACACACAAACTGTGCTCATGTGATGATGAAAATCTAAGGTTTTAGCTCCAGGGGTGTGATCATGAAGAGGTATTCAAACTGAAATCTCTGGCTCAAAACACGCTCAGCAGCTTGTGAACAGATCTAAAAACTGTGAACAATGCTGGCAGCAAATAAACTATGATGTGCCTTTACACATGGAACCGTTTCTCTACTCTGCCGTTTAATGTTCTTACTACAAAACTAACTGACATTAAAAGTAGTTCAAAAGCAGTAGAAATGAAATAACATGCTCCGACTCAAACAGCTGAATGAAAACATATGACTGGAGCAGTGGACCAGCAAGGTATTTACTAAAACTAATGTTCTCACCTAACTTATAAACAGCACTCACAGGTCAATACAAATGCTTTAGATTTCTGCTAATTGAAACACTAATTGAAAAAACAAGCAAAAAAAAAGCCTGTTCTCATGACTGGACCGACTACAGTCCGTATGTGTGAGGTGACCTCTAGCACAGCGTGTCGTGTCAGTTGTCAGTGTCACCACATTGCATCATATCATCACTCATGACATGCTGTCAGGGAATGTGCTGGTTGCTTGTTTTAAAATAATTAGACCACATTCATGTTTGCCAACTAGACATATTACTTTGCAGGCCAGTCGCCTCCCCAGGGCAATTGGACAGCAGGATGAATAATGTGACAGTAATGCAGTAAAAATCAGTGCCACAGACACTCACTTGAATGCTCTGGTGCCTCAGAGCCGACCATCTTAGCAATACTGACACCACACCACTCTATAAATAGGCTCTACAGTCAATGCTAATCGAATCCAGTAGAGATTCAAATTACTTCATTAGGAGGTCCAAAAGCTCGATAAAGACAGGAAGACAAAGAAGCAAATCTAAGCAGAGTAACATCCAACAGCCAAGTAGGACCCAGCTGTATTGAATGTACATAGACAGATTAAATTGACACAAATTCAGTTCAATAATAGTGCTTACAACTGAAACACTTCTTTATATACTACATATATTCTACATTCCTGAAATATATACTATATGGACCAAAAAAAGCACTCTTTTTTTGGTGCATCCTGTGAAGATGAACCCTCTGTTTATGCTCTACCCAAAAGGTGTGTGTGTTTGTATTCCTCAAATACTGTTTACTACCCGATATGTGTTTTTTTTTTTTCTTACAGGACCATTTCAAGGTAGAAACCCACAACAAGAAGGTCTTGATGATTTAATTAATTACAATCTTGCCTGGCAGAGAGAAGGGAGCTCAATCTGAAAAGTAAGAAGGAGAAATGTGTCTTCCAAGTCCCAACAATGTGGTGTTTTCAGGGCAGGTGATCATTTACATGACATCCGGCGCACAATAGCATTTAAATCCCATCTTCACCGTGTTGCATATATAACCTACATTCTCCACCACTGTAACACACCACACTGATGTGGCTGCTTTTAATTAAAAACACTTGTTTGCATACCAAGATGGCTGAGTGATGATGTAATGACACTAGAACTAGAAATGGCTTTGTGCAAACAGCCTGCACACTTCCATGCCATTTGAATGACATCTATAGGATGCATGGGCAAATTAAAGACCCAGGCTAAGCTTCCCACATAATAACACAAATTCATAAATATAAATATATATTTGTGACGCAAACCGACAAGCAGCAATCCAAGTCAGAGCCCAACCCTATAGGAGGAAGTTCTGATCCAGTCAGAGGCAGTTTCCACAACAGCAACAGTGAATCACTGTCGTGTAGTGTTTTAAAAGGAAAAAAAAAGGTATACGCTGACCCACTTAAAAATTAAGTGTAAAGAATACCACCACACAACCACAGACACACGAAGGAGACGCAGAGCACACTGAATGATGGAGCGCCTGGGTCTGGTTGTCCAGCGCGCTAAGGGAGCCCAGAGTTATGGCAAACGGCGGATACAGAGAGAGTATCCTGGATGGCGGTACCGCAGGGCTGCTATGGGGCGAAAGCACACGAGGCTGAGCCTACTCACCGTCCTGTGTGTCGTTCCCGCGACTGCAATTGCTGCAAATGTGCTTGATCTCTTTCCCGATGTGACAGTGGATCGTAAAGGGCATGTTGTTGTTGTGGTGGTGGTGCGGATGCTGGCCGTGCCCCTTCTTGTTGCTGAGGGACATGATTTTGACCAGGCTGAACGCCTTTTTCTTGGGTTTCTCCACCGCCACGGGCGTGTTTTCTCGGCACCCCGTGGTAAACCAAGTGCCGTGCATGATGGTGGGCGCCGGATCCACCGTCGGGTAATTGGCCGTCTTGAACATCGGGGACGCGAAAAACGAGAGCGGCGCTTTGGTGCGCGGCGTTAGGACGGTGTGGGTTGTTTTAAATTAAAGGGCCCATCAATTGAGTCCTACCTGTCCTACGGTAGCAGCTTGCATCGACCCCCCTAAAAACCAGCCGCTTCTTCTTTTTTTTTTTTTTTTGTGCTGTATCCCCCACACCTTTACCTGAGATCCCAGTATGTGCAGCTACTCGGTTGCGCAATGCAAAAAGTCCCCGCTGCCAGATCCAAGGGAGCTAATAATAAAATAGAGGGTGAGTAGTGAATGGCAGCGACTACCTCTCCCTCCCAGAGCTGTAGACTGCAGTCGGTTGTAGCTAATCCACGATTAGTGGAGCTGAGCAGTGAGGGCCTGTGATTGGCTGCACGGTGCGCTCCTCTAATAGGCCAGTGTGGACGGAGGAAAAGTTGCTCCTCTGATAATAGGATTCCAATCACAGGTTTTTTTTTTAGCAAGTTGCATTATATGATAGACCCTCTCTGTATTTATAAAAAAACATTGCAACAGCAACTAAAACATACCACTAATAAATAATAATCACCATAGGCTATTATTTAGTCGGAAGAGCTTTAATAATTAATCTAATCTTAAAACATCCCCTACAGACATGTATTCAGACATACACAAATAGTCTGCTTGGAACAATAATGTGTGTCTGATTTGTTTTCTCTGCAAATAAGTACAATTTCCTCATTACAATCCGTTAAAAAGTAATCCATACTTTCCTTACTACCTCATTTAACAATCCCAGCAATTCTATGAATATGGAAATTGGGTTCATCTCTATTCCCCCCCTGCTGGATACAAGATGTCTCCACATTTTATGTGCACTGGCAGCTTCAGGCTTCTAAAATACACTTATATAAGTTGCATAGTGGGCCAGGTTTCATTTCCAAACTATTTGTGATGTGAATCATGCTCATAAGATCGCCCCTGAAAAAACAGATGTTCAATGAACACAAAGAAACTCCACTTTCATGTTAAAACATCCTTCTAGTGTTAAACTCTGCACATATAAGAACATAAAACAAATGGAACAGAGATAAATAGAGCTAGACAACTTGGCAAATCCCCCCAAAAAGTGAAATGATTCAATGCAAATGATTTCCTTAGACAGATCATTGTAGTACTGGGTCTTGGCAACCCATAAAATGAAGGGGAGTGGACCTAAAATGGAGCCCTTTTTGAGTTGCTGCCAATAGTGGAGAATTCTGTGTGAAAGGGAGGAAATGATCCATGTATGTTAGCATGTTAGATACCAGCCAGGTGCTTAAGACACTTGATTAAAATGAGATGCATGCTGTGAAACAAAAGCCACACTGAGGTCTTGTGTGAATCTAGTAGTTTCCTCTTGTATCTGCTGTTAAGTGAATGCTCCCTGTGCTATTTAAAGCCCTTGGACAGGCATATAGAAAAGCTGATTGTAAGTTTATTTGAAAAACTGCTTTCTTTTCAAGTAAACAGCTGAGAGATCTATGGGGGGCCCTATAGTTTTGGATGCCCTCTTTAAGTAGCTTAGCATATAAACCTTCTACTGGACACGTAGACTATGACACTATATATGAATCATCTCCAGGAATGCACATTAAATCCCACACTTCACTTTTGTGTGAAATATGAAACAGAAGAAACAATGACCGTCTGGTAGCTCATATACACACACAGCTATGTGCATCAATGAATTCAACATTATCCACAAATCACATCAATGGGTGATACATTAAGGATGTGTCCACCAGGTTTATCCACCTTCTTAATGATGCAAAACTGATTACAAAGGCTAAAGTACTATGTTAGATTTAAAAAGTAGTGCAAGGAACAACTGTAGTGAATGCAAAAATGATGACATCCATCTAATTTGGGCATAATAACAGACAAGAACTCAGAGAATTAAAATCAAAGAAAAGAAACACAGCATAGGGACTGTAATCAGAAAAGCCCAGTGCTTCAAATCAGAGCTCAGCCTAAAGTAATAAGCATTAAATATTCTTTCTTTACATCACAAATTCCAAATAGCCACTCGCTTGATCCCTGAAGTTACTGAGCACATTTTGGGGTAATTGATAACATTAATGGCCAGTTAATGAGGCGTTAATCATGGAAAAGATAACAGACCCCACTGC